TGTTGGGGTAGAGGGTGGGGACAGTTATGGCAATTGGTCCTGTTAATACAGTGACTCAGAAAGGTGAGATTTGTTAAGCCTTTTTCAAGCTAGCAGCATGCAACCTTTTAAGGTATACCAAACACAACAACGGTTTGAGCTCAGCTGGCGCCGAGGAGCAAAAACAATCATCTCTGCTTGGTCACATGTCTCTGCCCTACAGAAACACCGTACTCAGATGTTGTGGATTTAGAAGATGTATGAGAGAAAGAGCAGGACACAAACACTAAGAGCCATCCTGGAGGACTGGGTTACTAGCCTTGAAAATGAGTAAATTGGTAACAGGATACTCAGTCTTATACTCCACACTAAAACCATTTGTAATGCTCCCAGGTTTGACTGCTTGGAAACAAAAGGGATCACAGAAGTTGTTCTGTGCTGCTTCCAAGCAAAGACTACACAGAAAGAAAGGTCTTGTAAGTCACACTGAGAAACCTTTTCAAAGCCTGAGGATGGAGCTGTACTATAATACATTCTGTTTCTGTACCCAAGGCACTCTTGTGTGGGTAAATGTTGTGTATAAACATTTAACTAGTTAGTAGTTGTATTGCTTTTTATGTTTTTGCAATTAAAACATAACTAAACTAAGCCTAGAACCCCAGACTTAGTATAAGTAGGAAGACTTACAAAGAAAAGTTTAACTATCCTGTCACTACATCCATCTATTCAATGTTTCATACATTGCAATAAAATGTATCCAATATTTAAAACTTGAGATTTGTACAGGAACCCCACCATATATTCTGTTGCTACTATACTTTTAAGCAAAGAATCTTGTAATTCAGAGTTCGCTTTGACCTGTATTGTTTTACCACTAAAATATCAATAAAATAATGCTTACCTTAAAACCAGTATTTATTTTCAAGGTACAGTATTTCCTCATGTCAAAAGTTAGGCTACTTTTTTTGCTGTTAGTACCTGAACATATGGTAAATATAATCTTGAAACCTCATTTTTTGTGTTTTGATATTTTTCCTCTCTTTTGCTTAAGAATTTAAGAAAATATAGTAAAAATTAATAACAAAGGCAATAAAAAAAAAGAGTGGAGTGCAACACTGAGAAATTATTTGTCTGTAAGACATTCTGTAGCCATTATAATCTGATGGTGTTTTCATTGGGGATTTTTTTTTGGCTCCCTTTGCTAGAGTGAGAGCAGTCAAAGAAGAAATCATAAAATCTGGTAATGCTAACTTAAAACAAACCCCAACAAACCACCAAACAAAACTTTGCTTCTAGTTCCTCCAGTTATCAATCTAGCAAATGAAATAAGCAAATTTAGGTCTGGATCATATAAATCAGTCATATCTTGGGTTATAAGTGCACAGTGTTTTCTGTAGGTGTCTTATCCATTCTTTGCATAGATAGACTATAGCTGCACAGGGAAAAAGCCATTTGCCCATTCACTGAGGTCTTGCTTACACTAAGTTGTCTTCCATATTTGACCCAGGATTGCAAAGATACGGCCTCCAGATAAAAAAACCCTAATTTGTGGAATGTCATTTGTCTACTACATGAGGCATTTGAAGATTACCTTCACATTCTAATACCTTCAGTCTGACTTGTTCATGGAGTTTTACCTGAGAAAAGGGAAAGGCCAGTAACAGTCAAGCCTGAAATGCAATCTGACTAGGGATAAGAATGAGGGGTTTCTGGGCAGAGGTCCTGGGTAGACAACACATAATACTGGTGTCACTGGAGAAGAATTTCTTGTAAGCTATTCACTTTTTTACAAAGTTAACTGTAGTTTATGACAATCTGAGTCTGGATGCATTAAATTAATCTACTCCATTTCAATTTGGTAAAGATTTTTCCTGTTTAAGACACTCCCAGCTTCCTTTTTTTCTATGTCCCTTCCTTTAATCTTCTTCCCCAACTCCTCCTTGCCAAATGGAAGGGATGAACTGAGCAGAAACACCAGAGTTATTTTTTAGGAGTTACCTGTTGTGAAACACCAAGCCTGAGGTACGTACTTCACTGCAGCAGACAAACAGGTTAGTAAGTTCAGGTACTGTTTACATGACACTCTTCAAGTCTGGCTGAGAATAAAGTACAGCATTTCTGTGCCTCTTCCCCACTCCACACCCTTCTTTCTCACCTAGTAAAACAAGCATCATGGGAGTAAATTTAGGTCTGTATCTTAATAACGTCATTATCTTAACCTAATTTAATTGACACCCACACAGATGACACCTGTACTTAAAAAATGACAGGTTAGTTATCAACAGGTGCAGTAATTCAGCTTCTAGCTTTTAAAAATGTAAAAAAATTCAAAAAGGAAATTATGAGAGAACTACTGCCGTAATGACTAAGCACAGTAGCTGTCCTACTTTCATTTCTCTCTCAGTATTCACGTGAATTCATTCATCTGTCTTCCCTTCCTGTAAGACAGTGAATTTAAACTGCAAGAGATCTAGCTGAAAATGAGATAAATACTACAGAATTTATTTTCTGAAAATGTTCCAATATGAGCTATGGTAATTCAGTAAGATCAGTGATCAAGCAGGGTGTATAGGACCATGACACTTTCTCAAGCATCCTTCCCACAAGTAGTTTCCTGTGCTGGTTTGGTTTCATTTGCCTCTCTAGCATGCTCAGAATGACATACTGTTTTGACCAGTGCTAGTTACAGTCAATGTCTGCTGCAAATAAAATGAACAATGTACATGGACAGAAACAATATTTGAGTTGAATGGTATGGGTCTGCAACTATTGCACTAGTTACTCTTTATATATTGAAGATTCTCATTATCACAACAGGGCTGGTAGGTTTCAATGTGAGTTTATATTTTGAAATATAAGTGGGCTGCTGCCATGAAAGAAACATTGGCTTACCAGACTGGCTGAGTCAACTTTAAAACCAAACCACAGACCTCTTATGCAAGAAAGTAAGAGTTTGTGTAGTTCTCTACCATAAGTACTGATGTTGTCATATCTTTATTTTGGTCTTAGGATCTGAAAATGCTTGTGAAAAGACTTCATTTATGTTTCTGCGACAAGAGTTGCCTGTGAGATTGGCAAACATAATGAAGGAAATAAGCCTGCTTCCAGACAACCTCCTAAGAACACCTTCAGTTCAGCTAGTGCAGAGCTGGTAAGTACATTTCGTACCTTTAAGGGTGACCTTCTGCATATACACAAGTTAGAGGAACAACTCATTCTCTTCTATAGAAGGAACATTTCATGTGCTTGTTACATGAACATCACTTAGTTAGATGGAGTAAATATCCCAATGTAACATAAATCAGAAACTAAATTTACAGGCTTGGAAAAAACCCTTTATGAGCAATTAGAGAACCCACAAGGGAATTAAAAATCATTAAGTATTGCAGATAGTCATGTATAGAATTCAGTAAAAACACAAAATCCACCAGAACAATGTTTAATAGGGACTTACTTAAAATGAAGAAGCTAGTTGAAGAAACTAACAGAAGCAGGCTAATGCACAAAATGCTTGCAAAACATAGTAGAAACCATTTAAAAGGTTATTGCAGATAGAGAGCAAAGGTGTAGAAAATATGAAGAAAGAGCAATAGGAAGCTCCCAAAGCCAAAATATTTAAAATAACAGAAAGAATATGAGGCTATTAAAATAAAAAAGATACCCTTGGAAAAGTAAAATTTGCTTTCAAGTAAGGAACTTACACATAAGCATAGAGTTTTGTAAGATGAAAGCAAAACAAAGAAATTGCTTGGCAAGTGCTAAAGAAACATGGCTATCTGGAAAGGATTTTAAAGTTAAGAGAACAGAAAATCTGCCAGTCAATAAGTGGGATTGATGAGATGACTGAATATAAAAAGAGCTGTCAATGAAGATGATGGTTCTTAATGAAGCACGAATGCTTAAATTCTCATGCTACTAAATGACATTGATCAAATGGGAAATGAATTCCACTTGGACAAATGCAAAGTAGAGCACAGAGAGGAACCTCCTCCCCCTATACGCTTGCTTGTTTGCAATGGAAAAAGAAATTTTGATGCTACTGGGGATGTTTTTCTGAATATGTCAGTTGACGGGCGAGAAGGCAAATAGTGTTAGGAACTAAGTAACTAATGGGGAGGAATATAATTGTACCGCTGTGTTAGCCCATTATTCCTCTGAATTGCATGCGGTTTTAGTCACTCCATCCTGAACAGAAAAGACCAAGAGGGATAATCAGAGGGTTGGAACAATTTCTACGTGAGGAGAAACCAAATAGAATTCTTCAGCTTGGAAAATACACATCTAAGGAAAGAGATGGCAGAAATACTTAAATGGGAAGATTTTCTAATAACAGGAACTAGCTGGGGCTGCAAATAAGTGATCACCTACTGGGTTTAAAACAAGGAAGGTCTTTTATGCATTCTAATTAAATTGTGGAATTCATTGCTCTGGAAATTTTGGAAGAAAACATCATGAATAGAATCATAAGGATCTAACAAAATTCGCAGGGGATAGGTCAATGGGATATATCAAATACAGTGATTTGGAAACAAGCAACCTTGGAAGACCATAAATTGCTAACCAAAGGGATCTGGGGAGGCATATTAGAATTGGTCTTTGTCATGTTTCTTTTGTTTAAAGGTATGTCCAAAGTCTTCAGGAGATCCTTGACTTTAAGGACAAAAGTTCAGAAGATTCAGGGGCTATTCATAGGTAAGGATATGGTGTCACATATATTAATATTATGTTAATATTATGTAGAAGGACTGGCAAGAAAACAATAGCTTAAGAAGAATTTCACCTGTCTCCAAACTTTATGTAAGAATTACAGTAACATCACCCCCTGTCCCTAAAAGGAGAGTACATTAAAACACGAAACAAAGCACTTTCATGCCATATCATTTGGTTGGGGCTTTTTTGTTGCACTGAAGCTATGAATGTGTTAAATTTGACCACATGTTTAGCAATTCCTTACTTGATGGACTTGATGTAAAGAACTTTTCACTTGTAGAGTAGGTTTGGTCATCGCTGGCTGACCATAACTGCTATTTGACAGGCATGGGATGATCTGCATGAAAATGGTTGGCACAGTTTTCTCTTTTTCTTGGCAGTAATCAAGATAATAAATAATAATTTTATAAATAAGCAGTAATGGTTGATTACTGATTGAAATATACTATAAAGACTGGCCTGTCTTCTTATTGCCGTAGGCAGACCCATGATATTTCTTTACATAACAGTCTTCATTTTTGTAGGCAGATAATCTGTTTGCCGGAGTATTAAATTCACTTGAAAGTGAAATACTAACGATGTATTAATTTTAGTTTTACAGATACTGTGATAAAAATCCGGAATCGACACAATGATGTAATTCCTACAATGGCTCAAGGAGTAACAGAGTACAAGGAAAGCTTTGGCATTGATCCAGTGACCTCACAGAATGTGCAGTATTTTTTAGACCGTTTCTACATGAGTCGCATTTCAATTAGAATGCTCCTTAATCAACACTGTAAGTGCCATTGTTGAAAGGAGGGGAAATGATACCTGCACTATGTCAGTATATTTTCCTTTCATTTTTAAGTGCTTAATAGGTACTTAAATGCTTCTTAGGAGTACGCTATTTGCCTTCCTATTTATAAACTCCTTAATACAATTCTTGAAATATTTATTAATAATAGGCTTTCAAGTATGGTGAAGATTGTCTATAAATTTCTGTTTAGGAAAACTGAAGACACAAATGAAAATCATAAAATTATATGGAGTATTAAATAATATTTTCTTTTTTGGCAGCTTTACTGTTTGGTGGGAAAATTAATCCAGCTCATCCAAAACACATTGGAAGCATTGATCCTAGCTGCAATGTTGTTGAAGTTATTAGAGGTAAATTCAGCAGATAAGAACAAGAATCCTGAAAACTGACATCAATGTCTATACTGAGAGCTAATACACATCTTGATATTCATATACTGTTTAGTTCTTTCCTACCTGGAGCAGAAGTTTCATTTAATATTAAACTGTAATACACCTTTGTCACTCTTCTTATTTTTTGTGAGAAAATACAAAATCTCCCTGACCGTGCACAGTGTTTTCCATTTTTTTTCCTCTTTTTGGCAAACTGTAATGGAAGAATAAAAACCCCAAAAACTGAGGGGGAAGTGTAACTTTCTGTGGTTTTATTATAGATGGCTATGAAAGTGCCAAGAGACTTTGTGATTTATATTACATGAGCTCTCCAGAACTCATCCTCGAAGAGTTGAATGGTAAGTGAATATGGGACAAAGCACCCTTGAACGTAATGATGGCTTCTTCTAAAGTAGCTGGTGGTGAAATGTTCTCCTTTCTCTTTTCATATAATGTGTTCTCTATATCTGCTGTCATAAATAGTTGTTGGTTGGTGGTTTTTTTTTAATCTGGCAGAAAGCTTTCCGTATTCCTCCCTTTAATTAGAAAACTGAAAACAGTAGAAAAAATTTTGACACTACAGCTGTTAATATAACAGATTTTAGCAGCCTCCTTCCCTCCCTAAGGCTTCTTGTATGTCTTCACCCTACACTGTCTGTTACATCTCACGCTCTCTTGCATTTCTTGTGACACTTTTAAGATGTATACTAAACATGCCATTCTAATTTCTCTTGCTAATTCTATCATGTTCTTGTAGTTGTAATTAGATATAGTACACTCAAGTCATGGTAAAAATTATTTGAACCCATTGGCTGTGACTTGGAAAAAACAGTTTACAACTGTGTTGCTATGAACTCAGAGGTCAGCTGTTGTCATTGTCATGCTGAATGCTGAAGAGCCTTTCTGACATTATTCACTAGAGTACTTTTCAAGATACTAAATGCCAAGTTTGGACAGACCTACAAAAACAAGCAATCAATCAAAAGCGCTTATACAAGTAATTGCAAAAGCCAAAGTGCAACCACAGCAACTTAGCCTATGAAGCTAAAGGCAAAGGAAGTGTTGACTTCACCACACATTCCAGATCTTTTCTTCCTACTGTACAAAACCTGGCATTCTGTATCTAGATTAAAGGGTTTACCGCTCTGCATGATACTAAAAACATTGTAAGAAACTATCAGTCACGCTAGCTCGTGCTGTGTACTGAGGGGGTCATTTAATGTTGTATGTCCTCCAGAAGCCAGAACAAATAGTTCAGTTTTTATAAACAGCGCGACCTTTTGCTCAATGAATTGTGAAGGTGAGTTAAACCTGATCAGGCCAAATGCACATTCCTTGCCCACAGCTGAGTGTGGAGACCATTATTTAAATGTTAGGCATGGGAGGGAAGTGAAGGCCTGGAGGGAAGTGGTTAACTTGAGGACAGGAACCCGACATATTTCAAGTGTGATTGGTTTTTTTTTTTCCTGTTTCATTTTTACTGGTATATAACATGTTCCAGATCTTTTGACATCCCTAGTATTCAACATTTATGTTCATAAAGCACTGGTCACTAACACAATCCAGTGAGAAATTAGTAATTTGTTGAACTGAGAGAACCTTAAGAGCCAGAATTTTCTGAGCAACCTTTCCTTAATTTTTCATACAATGAACATGTTCCTATGATACATTTTCTAGAATTTATTCTGTAAGGAAATTTGAAAACTATACCAGTTTTATGGACAGAATTGTCTATATATTTTTTGTTAAGATTTCTTGTTAGAAATCAGCTAATTTCTACATCCAAAACCAGGGTGTGCTGTAGTTACTATTTCGTGCATTATAGGATCATACGGTAATTCAGGTTGGAAGGGACCTCAGGAGGTTTCTAGCCTGACCTCCTGCTCAAAGCAGGGACAGCTACGAAGTCAGACCAGGTTGCTGAGGGCTTTATCCAGTTTGGTCTTACAAATCCTCCAAGGATGATGACTACATAAGCATTGAAACAGGTTGCCCAGAGATGGTAACTGTCATGTTTTTCTCTATATCCAGTCTGAACATCTGTTATTTCATCTTATGCTCACTGTTTTTTGTTCTCCCACCACCCGAAGAGCCTGATTCTTACCTTCATGATAACCTTCTCATAGGTATTAGAAAGCACATATTATATGCCCTAATCAGTGATGCTACAGCAGCTTTTAAGATTAATTTCTGAAGCAGCAAGCACATTTGAAACTCTTGAGTATGGTTTTTGATTAACATACAACTTTTCAAAAGATTTCCGTTCAGATTTTCCTTCTTTTGTAAGGTCTCTCAACAAAACAAGTATGCATTTTGAATTACTGTGGGGATGAGAAAAAGATACCTAGTTTGCTATTTAATTATTTACACTCTCTTTTTTTTCCAGCTAAATCACCAGGACAGCCCATGCAAGTGGTGTATGTGCCATCACATCTCTATCACATGGTTTTTGAACTTTTCAAGGTCTGTGCACTTACCATTACACAATTCTTGTATACATCTTTGTTTAGTGAGATTGTATTTGTTTGACTTTTTGAACTAATTCTAGAGAGCAGTGTGTTTTTGCAAGTGCAAACCTCTTGCTGTTTGATTGCAGGAAGATAACCTAAATTGTACTATTTAGACAAACAGTAACTAACTGCATAGAAAATGAACAGCTCTGGAAGATTTATCTCCTTTGCCTAGCTGCTGAATACATCTGACACCTTCTAAGTAGACAGCTTTGTCAAAAAATCTTAAAATTTATAAAGACATTAATTAATAAAGCAAGTGAGAATAAGATAGAAAATTTTGGGACAACTTCAAATCTGGTATAATGTGCAACAGGTCCTATAGATCTTTCCTCAAGCAGTTCAATCCTAGACTTTTCTTGATTTTTGTGTCACATTGCATGTATTATGTATTATTAAGATTTCTACAAATAAAACATTCAGATGTTTGTTCTAAAAAAAAAAAAAGATTTGAAGTCTGTGTATTCTAATAAACTATATAAATACTGATACTGAATAAACCAGCAATACTAAAAAAACCTATTCTGAAACCATATATACTTGTTCTGATTCTGAAATATGTGATAAAAATAACTTTCCTAAATTCATGTTTTAAGATAATATACAAAGCAGTAAGAACAGGATTTAAGTTGTACTTGAAAATTGCAGAATGCAATGAGAGCCACCATGGAACACAATGCTGATCGATGCATTTATCCTCCAATTCATGTACACGTCACGTTGGGAAATGAAGATTTAACTCTGAAGGTACCAACTTTTTTGATTATTTTGAAGGTTATTTTGACAAAGTTTTTTTCCCCGTCACAGGCAAAGTATTACTAACTTTGGCTGGTGATCTGTTCCAACAATAGTGGTGATGTAGTAAGTAACAAGACCATTATGGAATTTCACATACTGCATCAGTAGGAAATTCATGAAGAGGTTGCGCAGTCACACTGAAGGCTCTGCAATAGAATTCTATGCTTTTGTCACATTCACATCTCGCCTAGCTTATAAGCAACCATGACTAAAAATGAAGTAGCATCTTTATACAATTGTACTATCAGCATTTTGTGTGTGACAATGAGAGAGCTATACACGTGTGAAACAAATGAAAAAAAAGGGAATTAAACATTGTATATTCCATGCAAATCAAAACTCCCTGAAGTATAGTTTGCAGAGTAATTTATTCTTTTTCTGGACAACATCCATGTTGGATTTCAAAGACCAACTGCCAGCACTGGCTTTTCATAAGTCTAACTAAATGGTAGTAAAACAACTCTCCCGACTTACTCTTTCAGTAATAGGTTTTAATAGATTGTCTTTAACTGGCAGTATTCCTGAGGAATAACGATAAAAATACACAGAATCTGGCATTTGCTAAAAGGTATAGATACTGACTTCAGACAAAACTGAGTTATGAACAAGATAAAAGCAATGCACAATTGAAGTAGAATTTTTTTGCTTCTAAAAGGTTATGAATGCTTCTTATGGTAGTATTTTATTTAAATGGTTTGGATAAGGGATGAAAGGGAAGGATTCATATCTCTCTGGTCATTGCTGTAGCTGAGAGATGAGAATTTAAGAAAAGCCTGAATTTAATAGAGACAACTTTATATTTAATATAAAGTTTTACCTGAACTTTCTCTGGATAAGTGTTTGAGAGAAGCTGTCTTTTATAAAAATGCATTCAGGGATGGAATGCTACATGTTCCTTCTTGTTCCAGATGAGTGATCGTGGTGGAGGTGTTCCTATGAGGAAAATTGACAGACTATTCAACTACATGTATTCAACAGCACCACGTCCACGTGTTGAGACGTCACGAGCTACACCTTTGGTATGCAAATCTTTTATACATTGTCATCTTGAATATGTTGAATTGTCACAAAAGAAACCATTTAGCCAAAGCTATGAAGTACTAATTTTATAGATACAATGAGTATCACTATTTGGATGTTATAGCTTAATTCAAATGTTTTTCTGAAAATAAAAGGAAAATTGCATAAAATCCTAAAAATTATTTAAACTTATTCAAGATTCTGTTTTTCTCTACCAAATATAAAGATTAGCTACCTCAAGCAGAACACTTAGCTACGCTGCACGTACTGCAGTAAGGACAGGACTCTTAATTCTTGTTTTGGCCACTGATTGAAAGGAAAAATAATGGTAGCAATGATTTTGGATCAAGTCCACAGTTTCATTTGTACTGTGTAGTCGATTGTACCATCCCCCAGCAAGGATGAAAGTACGCAGATGTGACAGGGCATACTAAGAATCTACTTTGGTGTCATGTGAACTTAATAGATGCAAAAGAAATAAAGCCTTATCTGTCAGTAAGAAGCTCTGAACAGCCTTCTTGAATTTTACCCTTGCATTGCATCATTCAAAATGTGTTTTTTAAATGTATGTAGTGTTCTGCATCTAGATGACTGTGTAACTCATTAAACACTAGATCTTTAGAGAGAAGTGTTATGTATGTTCATCGAGAGATTACCTGTAAAATTTAGTAGATAAACAAAATTATACTTAACACTTCAGGGCTGTGTCCTGCTACTGCAGACGGGGCTTGATATAATTTTAGTATAAGCTACAAATTCATAGACAGTGCTTCTTGGACCTTTTTTATATAAATGTATCTTATTTAAGTACTCAGTGTTCTTAAGATTAGCAGCTCCATGAGGCATAAGACCGAGTCAGGATAGTTTTCTCTAGTAGTGCCATCTCTTCTTGAAAAAGCTACCATAATACAAGAAGTGTTGTCTAGCAGCCCTGTCTGACAAAGGAATAAAAGTTTTCTCGTAATCACAATCATCCATGCATTCTTCCATTTCGGGGGGGCGCAGTAGTTAACATTTGAGCTTCTTCTCTTACTGTCAAACATCATGCTTAGTTTGTCTGTTTACCTACTAAGTTAAAACAGAAAACACCACTGATTGATTGATGCATTAATGAAAATACACTTTTTCTCCTGGATCAGGCTGGATTTGGTTATGGCTTACCCATATCACGTCTGTATGCACAGTACTTCCAAGGAGACCTGAAACTGTATTCCTTAGAAGGCTATGGTACAGATGCAGTTATTTACATAAAGGTATGATGTAACACTTTATAATTTTAAATTTATCAGCAACTCTAATCTGACTGATAATGGAACTCCTTGTTCTGTTACTATAACTTTGATTAAAAAGAATCATCAGCTACAGTCTTCTCTACTTACAGGCCTTATCAACGGAATCAATTGAAAGACTCCCCGTATATAACAAAGCAGCCTGGAAACATTATAAAGCAAACCATGAAGCAGATGATTGGTGTGTGCCAAGCAGTGAGCCAAAAGACATGACTACTTTTCGCAGTATATAGCTTTCTCCTCAACAGTTCATAAGAAGCAGATATGTCTGTAAAGGGAATTTAAAAGACCTGATTTACTCCAAGATGCTGAGCCAGGTTTGATAACATGAAAATCATTTTAAATGGAGTAACTCTTTTCTGGAATTAAACCCCCCCCCCCAAACAAAACCCAAGAAAAACCCCAAACCTGTACATACTCTTAAGTGAGAAGGTCACACTTAATTTGTTCCACTGTCTATTTATGACTACTTTCAGTAGCTAAATCAAGGCAGCAGTAATTTCAGGGTTTATAGGGACTAATGCAATCTATATAATCTCTGGTGAGAAATGTATTAATTAATTCATATAATTACAAAATTGTTTTAATAGAACTATTGAAAAAGCTCGCCAGAGTGTTTTTCCATTACACAATATTACAGATTAATTAAAAAACTCATCTAAGAAATATTGAGGAGTTAATTGCTATACCTTTGCACCTGTATGGCACTTTCTATTCTTTTAAGCATGCCTAATTTTGCAAAGTTAGATATGTTGCCTGCACACCTTGCCTACATCAAGGTTTTCTGCAGGTGTAGAAATCACACTTAGGTCTGTAGGGATAAATGAAATTAAAAATCAGTTCTAGCTGCTACCACTGGCATAATATATCTCAGGTATGTGGTATCAGTCATATTTCTTTGTTTGTAATGTGAATATTTAATACACGTGAAAAATTTATCTTGCCATGATCATTGTGATTTAGCAAATAGTGTTGGCTTGTGTACAGTAAAGATACGCTGTCTTGTATTTGCTTATATTTCTGTAGGTAATACCAAAATGCAGTATCAATGTTCTAGCCCTAGTAAGATCTCAGACTCTGGGGTATGTCAGGTTACAGCTGTAAATGGAACTATTTTAATAAACAGATTTTTTAAAATCTGCCCTTAGTAGGGCATCTCTATTATTTGGACAATAGAAACTACCTTCTCAGGAGTATTTAAGAAAAAGTGGAATTAACAGGTTTTGAAAATACCTTTGTATTTGTGATGTGCTTCTGGCCTCATTTATGTAGTAAATGGAAGTCACACTATAACATAAATAAGGTAAGCAGAATGTGTTTATCAGTCAAAGCAAACTGTCAAAACATACTGGTGAAGATAGAGAGGGGAATGAATATTACATTTCAGGTACAAAGTCCTTTAAATAAAGGATTCAACTTTTTAATGCCTATTGTGCCAGCTTTGTTCAAATCATATACATCTATGTTGCACCTCAATCCCTGTTACTCCTGAACATTTAGGAGTGATGCAGTTAAAGACACTGAGAACTAATCCTTTTCTCAGTTAATTGCATGTAATTCTGTGATTTTTGTACTGCAGCAGATACGCATAATCACTCAGAAATAAGCCTAAATTTTGCTAGTTTACTAGCTCTGCACAGAGCAGAAGATGAGATACCACAAGAGAAGGTAATAGCTGGTATGTTAGAAACGACATCGTGCTATTCTGGTTGTAGCTGAGCCAAATTAAAGATTATCACCTGCTACCTCCCTAGTCTAGTTCTGCAAAACAATAAAATGGTTTTATACCCTGGTCAAGCTAATGTATGTCACTTTAAAAGGAGTGATTTCCAGAATGAGCTATACACAGAGTTAAACTGACACTCTGAGGGAGGATTGCTCTAGCTTAATTACCACCAGAACAGTACAGTTACCTGCTCCACTCAAGCTTGTAGGCACTTTGAGAGGTTCCTATTTTTCTTCTTTACAAGGCTGTGAGGTGATGACTAGCATACCTTTCAATCCGCATGGCTACAAGTGAGGAGAATCTATAGCTGCTGTTCTTCAGCCCTGCAGGAGGATGTATGTGAGAAATGCCACATATTGTAAAATGGGGCCCGTACAAAAGTTAGAGGGAATGCTCACAGCTATTGCTTTTGCTAAACTAAAGCTGGAAGTTACACCTTCTAGTGGAAGGTGTCCCTGCCCATGGCAGGGGGGGTTGGAACTAGATGATCTTTTAAGGTCCCTTCCAACCCAAACCACTCTATGATTTTAAAGACTTAACACTGAAGCTGAACATTCTAGCTTTCACGCTAAATTTTAAGTGCTTAACTAACTTAATTGAACTGATTTTAGTAATATCTGAGAACTACAAGAGAAATTTCCGAAGAAAAGCTAACACAGGTTTTCTAGAAAGTCTATTAAAGTATTTCATATGGTATTATTGAAATAAAACCTCTTTCATGCTCTCAGCTAGCTACTGATTGAATTCTGATTATTAGAACAACTTGCCGTGTAATTATATTTGTATCTATCATCTCCTCACCCACGACCCCGAATGATTGTGGTAAAAAGACAAATGTAGTAATATTTTGGTTTGCAATGTTTAACCCTGCTTACAAGTTTGATCTTTGATTACTCTTGATTTAAACAGTAGTTCAGAAGGTAATTTTTGTTGTTTAATATTTTCATTACTGTACTGAAGTCATTGCTAGCACACTGGTTAAGTTGAAATGAATCACTGTAGAAAATTAGTGTACTAGGTCAGCTGACATTCAAAATGCTGACATTAATAGTTTTGTATGCAAATGAGCTCAGTCTTGCACTGTAAAGTTAATCTTGGTTTGTGTTAACTTAATTTTTTGAAAGAATCACTACATTTATTCATTAAAACTATTTTAAAAATTAAACTTTCAGTTGGGTGATTTTGTGGCTTTGTACTAAGCTAGTTTTGTGGAGCCGGCCTTCTCATTTAGCATCTGACAGATGTTAAATGCTGTGGTCTGTGATAATCGATGTTCCTATGCTCAGGTGCCAAGTGAGTTTATCATCCCTGCTATGGCCCCCGTTTAACTACAATGGCTCTGCACTAGCAAACCTTTGAAACCATTATTTCCACTAGTCTCCTTCCTGAGAAATGAAATTCTTCACAGGGTGAAACATTCAGTTCAGTAGGCTTACAGGGAGAAGGTAATACACGGTTGTATCAATATTCTCTGTTCTAGCTGAAAGCACTTAACTGAGAAATAAACTTCCTTGACTGAAGTAATGGAAGGGTTGTTTTACGTGTGTGGTCCTAAGCATTTGATCACTCTAATTCCCTTCTCTTTTTTTCAGTAGGGCAGCATTCCTCTCTGACTCAAGGTCTGTAAGTTTGGAGTACAAACTCAAAGCTACTGGAAACAAAGTAAATAAGTTAAATCATGACCAAAGCATTGTTTCTTAATGCACAAAACTGAAAATTGAACCTCTTTTAAAAAGTAATTATTACCAAGATTTTCAAGCTTTATTTTGGAAATGCATAGTGTGCAGAAGCATTTCCACGCAGTGCTTTTGCTGAAATTCATAAGACATTTATACAAAAAAATAACAACTGTGAAACACCAACAGTGAAGTTCATTCATTTAATTAAAATGAAAAACAGTCCATAGATTTAAAGGAGAACTTGGTCCACATAAACGAATTACATAAGTTTTGTTCTAGTCCATTCTATGGTGGACTGATGTTTAAACTAGTCTATGTTTCTGGAATAATCTAATCAAAGGAAGTGCTGTTGTAGCATCTCTAGAAAATATAGTATGTAAATATACAAAACACCATTTCATGTTCTAAACTATTCTGAGAATCAAATCCTCCTTTAAAGAGAAATAATCTGTAGTCTACAATTGACCATTTAAATACAATGCAGAAACCCAGTGCTTCAGTGATAATTTTTCCTACAATTCTTCCCTCAGTATTTTAAGTTTGAAAAACAGTATAGTTTAAAATTAGCAAATATATAAATTTGGTCCGCAAAAATCTTGTAGCAGGTAGAAAAGAGAAATACATGTATTGCAAATTGATTTTATTCATAGCATAGATCTATAAAACTATGTATTATTTAGGAAAAATAGGTTAAAAAAGATCTTATTTATAGGTTTAAACCTTGTCCCAACACCATATGGGTAGTGTACAGAAAATATTATGCTTAGTGTAAGTAGTTTGTGAAAATTACTTAATATTTCTTGTTATTTTCTCAGTAAATTCCAACACAGAATTCAAAAACAATGTGCTACTACAGTGAACTTTGAATGAAAATCCCAGAAATACAAGAATTTAAACAAAATAATCCATAAATTTGAAATACATGCTTTCTTTTTAAATTAATTTGACATTACCATTTTCTTAAACTTAATTTTTACTATACATCTTTAGTGGCAACAGATAAACAGACTGTCACAGACTGAATTTGTTGGCAGGATTTTTCTATTGTCCCTCTATCAGATTCAACTCTATCAAATGCTAGTTGACTACTATTGGAATGATTTTTAATACATTATTCTACTTTTCACAAACATCAACTTCAGTGACAAGGGCATATGAGGTCTTAGAAGCACAAATATTACTTAAGGCAGAAAGTTAAATTATTGTCTATTAGTACAGGCAGAGTCAACTAGGAATAAAAACACTGAAAACATCATTTCATTTTATTGGGTTGTAATAGGGAGGGACCATAATTAAAAAGTAAAAAAAACACCTACCATGTTAAACTGTTGCACTTTCCCTCCTCCCTCAATTGTACAATTATATACAAATCTGCTGAATTTCCTCAAGATGAAGCAAGTCTGCGCTAAAATAAAACGGTCATTTTAGCAGCTTGATTCAAGAGTAGTTACCACTCTGCCAGTCTTGCGAACTTCTCTCTCCTTCTTTTGAACCTTTTCCTTCTGCTTTTCCAGTTTTTCTTGTGTTTTTCTAATATCCTTAATTTTTTTCTTTATTGTTGATCGGTCATTTTGATTGGAGACTCCCAAAGCCTTTAGGAGGGGGAAAAAATAAAATACCTCATTATTAATTTTTCCAACAGCACTGTGAACAGTACTTGTGCGTGAACAGTTTAAGAAAGCATTATTCACTTTGCTGCAAGATAGTCTGTTTATTTGAAAAATAAGGACATAAATCTTCAAGAGCATTGTAAATGATCATCTGGTAACAAGGTAAGGAAACAAGGGTCTACTCTTGTTCGGTTGTGAATTAACAGCTTCTCTTTGCATTTTCCAAACATGTAGACAGCTGAGTATTTCCAGCAAACAGCATAATAACAGTAGTCTCTCTCTTTTCTAGCTCTTTTTATACAAGAGGAATTTATATTCACTAACTACTCTTTAATTTTTATTATTAAGGATTTTAAAGTGTATTATTAAAAATAATAATCTACCAGTAAGTAGATGGTACACTTTGATTTTTGATCAGCAGGTGGCAGTACCCGATGCCAAGTTACAGACAGCACGTGCCTCACATTCTATGGAGCTCCGAATGGCATTAGGTGTAAATTGAACTTCAGGCATGAACATCCATAGTTCCCCAGATAGAGACAGTCATTTGACAGACCAGTAACAGGTACAAAATACAGGACATTTAGTGTTGCACGTCTATTCTAAAAAAGCAGGTATATTTTGGAGACTGACATTAGACACATTTTTATTCCCTCCCTAAAACATTCAAATCCTACTATTGATCATTAACAATAATTTGCCTTATGCCAGAATAGACCAGTGAACCTCATTTCAGTCACACATCTTGCCTGTCCAAAATGCAGTTCGATAATCTAACAAGAAAGAAAAACTGAAAGTTTACTGGCACTAGAAAGGATACATAACACGCAGCCTCCAGACGTAAAATGACAAGAAAAGGCTCAAAAGAAAGATTCAAACTAGACTTTTTCAGCAGGAGTAAAAACCAAAAACATTTAAAGGTCACCAGACAGGATTTTAGCCTTCCCATTTGAATAGGACATGTGGAAGAAACAGATTTCTAAAACCGGATCCTGCGATTCTATGCATTTTAATTGGCCGGGTCTTGTTTTGATAGGACCTATGCTGAGATTGATGTATCAAGCCCCTTTGGGCAATTATGCTCACTTTGATTTTCTCAAGACGCAAACAAGAAAGAAATA